TAAGCTTATAATGATGAGGATCTTTGAATCTCACCCACTAATATACAGTAGTAATTAACACAACTTGCGTCAATGATAACTTTCATTAGATCTATTGATCGTTGACGATTATTATTGAACTAATAACTATTCTGTGTTTGCAGCAATGTAGTTCCTTTTAAAACTAAAGTGAAAAACAGAAATAGAAATTTGGCATTATTAGGCTATTAGAAATTAAAGTTACAACTAAAAAAATTTAAATTAATGAGGAGACTATGTCTAAATTGAAAATTGTATAAATTGGTCGCCAACTTCTAACAAATTTAGTCAACACATAACATAAGTAATGTAACAAACTTCAATATACAATTTTTGAAGCACACAGTCTCGGGAGCTTACAAAGAGGTTTTGATTATACTAAATTAACTCGAGCTGTTAATTGAAACACAAAGCTTTCTCGGCTCATTTTAATTAAAAATTACTGCCACAGCAAAGAGTCATGTGTTGGTTGGATCTCTGTCTAACGACTTGACACTTTAAACATTAGTGACACCAAGATTTCTTTGTATCGGATTTTTGCTTGATAATATTTAACGACCAAAGGAATTTAGATTTAAAACTCTAAACACGATTTTCATTAAAAATATTTTTAACCAAGTCGATAAAGGTGAAAAATACGTGACTTAGAGTATTGCGTTCAACCAACGTCGACTCGATTTGAACCCGGGACCTCGAAGTACGAAGTCCTGCGCTCTACCACAACACCAGCGGCTTCCAGATACGAGCACCTACTTCTCGGTAATAATACTCGATTCCAAACCTGTCCAGGCGGCAAATGTGGCGAAGACCTTGACTTCCAAGACGAGGGGCGACACGGCGTCCAACAGGAAATGTACCTCATACCCGGCATAGTAAACAGTGGGTGGCGCGATGCTGGAGTTGGAGATGAAAGGAAATCTGTCGTTCCTTGAGGTAATACGAAAAAAACTCCAGTGCTCTGAAGATATTTTGGTTTAGGCTACCTTTGATTTTTGGTTTTTTCACAGCCCCCATCCAAAGTTAAAGCTCACCAGAAAATGAAAATGGGTGTAGTTTTAAGAGTCACCACAGTGTGCATTACTGATTTCTGCCGAATATGCAATCTTTTTACTAAGTTTTAATGAGTCGAACTGATAAGACGATTTATTGTCAAATCACAGATGAATAGACCTACTCCACTTCCTTCAATATGTGGTAAGATACAGCATACTCATTGTTACACGAACAGAAAATTAAGGTGAAAATACTGTAAAAAACTAGGGGACAGCTTGAAAAGTCCATAGAAGAGAAGTCCACTTCAGAATCGTACAGTAAATTGTTTCACGTTTAAATAGGTGTAAAATTAAATTGTTAGAACGTATTAGCTTAGTAAATTGGAGTGCCAACAGCTATTAATATTTTTTTTATACTAGTGTACATGTTGCTCGAATTCGAGCAATTCTAAAGCATTACAGGAGTTATTTCAAAAAGAATAACAGTCATATTTACAATGAGTTTAAAAGAATCAACTCAAAGATCACCGGTGTGTGACTCAAACTATGTTTATCTTCGTTATTGATAAACCTAAAGCATTCCGGCCGGTTTTCGTCTCCTTCTCAAAATGCCTCGCTGTACAGGCAACACAGGTCATTGATAGAGGGCCAATTGAGAACGAAAAGTTGTTTTGTTTTGGGGTAGTGTTAGGGCGCATTTTTAACCTAATAGTTGAGCCTATTACGTGTCACTGTTCTGTAGATGCGGTCGTTATCACGATTACGCCTCCTGTACATATTTCGTTGTAGTAGCGTCGGAGGCATTTAAAAGAAAAAACAACAAATAAACAAATTATAGCTACACAAAACAACGATAAATGCACAAATTTAAGTTACAATCATGCTAACACGATCCTTCATAGCGATACAAAACAGCGATAAATACACAAATTTAAGATACAACCATACTAACACGATCCGTCTTGGGGGTTATGTTTACACAAACTCAAATAGTAAATAAATGTACTCAATGCGTTTCATTGAATTGACAAATAAATAACAGCAATAAAATTATACAGCTGATCAAAATGTAAACAATTATGTTCTTCATAAGGATAACATGGGAACTTTAACAGCCACTGGGGCAAAGCCCAAGGGACTTTTTCAAAAAAGTAAGGCCAGTTTGTAAATCTACGCGACACGCTCTTTCCAATGAGACGTCAATGGATAAAATCGGTTAAGAAATGGCGGAGGAGTTCAACCGACAAAGTTTCATGTAGCGTATTAATTATATAGATTTTACTATAGGAATATGTTTAACCAACCATGAATTAACATTCCTCGATTCTTCATCATAGATTTGTTTAGCCTAAGTGTCTCACAGAGCCTAATTTGGATTCGGCAAAAAAACACCCTGTATAACCTAATGCGAATTTTACAATAGAAGATACCAACTAAATACTCAATTTTTGTCAATACAAAATCATTTGTTCACAGTTTAGTTTGAGTGACAAATCGTCAAAATCAAACAGCTGATCAGTCTAATTGAAACATTTTTAAATACAAACACTTGACAAACCGCAGACTAAACAATAGTTTGTCCCTATGTATCGACATTTCCTCCACACCATTCCCAGGTCATTGTTGATAGCGACTCCACGTGTGCTATCACACTGTTATCACACCAGTTAGCACACCTATGGCTCACACATCCTGCCCGCGCCTCGCCCGTGACGTCACCAGCTGTTTAATTTAGCCCATTGTTCCGCGCCCATTGTCCACCGTCTACCATCTACAAGAGTTATGACCGATGCTTATCCACTTAATTCTCTTGGCCAATTTACTCTCTTCATGCTCATACGGAATCATATTATACTCTGTGATGAGTAGTCTTGCTGAGTAAATTGTTTGTATGAGATAAATTGATGGTTTACAGAGAGAAAAAAAATTTGCGAATTTAGATTTATATTTTTGAAACATGGTGGATAAGAAAAATTAGTAATTGAAGACTGTATAATGGATGCGTTGATAGCTCTGTTACCATGATCAGCTGTCTCTTTAGCAAGTACCTTCAACAATGTATGAAGGACAAGTTTTATACCGTACAATATTTTCAGCTGAACTAACATGCAACATGTAATGTTACGTGGGTGGATTAAGGTATTGTTTTCGCCCAAAATCTTCTGGATTGAGGTTTGGGTCACGTCAGTTTAGGATCCCCCTTTAATAAAAGGCGTTTTTTAGGTGGTGCACTCGTGTGTGGATCTGTACAGAGTTACAGACGACCCCTTTGACCAATTTTAACCATCAAAGCTTCTGTATATGAGTACTAGTCCACAATTCACGTGTTCTTTTTTAAAATTTGTATATCAAATAGTGACTTTTTATGTCAAAACCGAAAAAATGCAGCATACAAGTAAGTAAGTTCAAAATTCAGTATTTTATAATACTTCCAGCTCTAAACAAAAGTGTACAACCCGAAATCCTGTAAAAAATACGATTCAACACCTTATGCAGTTTTTGTGATTTCACCTATGAAATAGCATAGGCTTAACTTCCACAGCTTAAATACATGGGTTGTCGACAGGCTAATGGAATGCCCTATATGACAGATTAATGTACAAGTAGGCCTACAATTTATTTTACATAACTTATATCCCTCAAATATCATAATGTTGTTATTATTATTATGTTGTTTGCTGTATACGACCCACGCAGATAGTCTATGTGGACGGGCAATGCAAGGATAAAAGAGACCTAGAGGCCGCCTACCTCTTAAAACAAAAAATTGTTCGAATTAAAATACTAAGGGCAAGACTCATTTTACATCAACCCAAATGCCATAAGTTGAACCTATAAGTTCAGTAACCAATAGCATTGACTTTAGACGTAACGTCGATAAGCACGGATCTCTTCGTGCTCGCTGGGAGTTGTAAAACCGAGGTCTTTGCACGCTCGACCTTCGAGAAGGTGAGGTTTTAGAAGCGAGACAGAATCATAGCTTAGTCATCACAGGAAACAGCTTTCATAACTCTTGCGAGAACTAAGGAGAAATTTTGAAATTACATTTAGCTACTGGAAGTAGGCCTACACTCATTGTGACGAGTGGTGAAACCCAAGTAAGTTTTTGAATCCCTTTCAAACCAGGCAAAATGGATTCAACTTGGCTTTAAATAAATGGTCTGGAAATCGCGGTCTTAGAGAAAATGCTACACTATCTTTCTTTCAAGTATCCCTCATATTCGTGTCATTATTTCGATGTAGGCCCCTAACGAAATGGTAGATTGAAACTACTATTAAATTGCGCGGTCCCAATTTTGGGTGAAAAGTTAATTGTGTGTTATTATTTTAAAACAAACCCTAATTGATGAAAAGTTGTAACATGCAACAAAGGTATGGATTAGCCTCAAATCAGTCAAACCGTAAAGAACAATTTGCAGTGTGAACTGGAGTTTATAAGTATGCCCATTTTATTTATTTGTAAAAATCTAGTTAAGTTCATAAGTACGGGGGAAATTAAGAAAACAAGATATAAGAAATTTACAAAAATAACCACTTTCTTTAAATGAATACAAACTTGTATGCTACATAGTGACATAGCAGAAATACTACTCCGAAATTCTCTGAAAATCACTCCTGTCTACTCTTTTATGTGATTGCAATAACAAATTAACATTACCTTCTACATACATTACACTTGATTTATTCATTCATACTACATAGCTTACATTGTTATGTTAGAATGTTGGTACACTAGAACGTCAATAGTAAGTCTCTATATGGATATTATCAAAGGACTTGCTATCAAGGTGACATTTTATCGAGGTTAGCTATGACCTGTGATAAAAAATCAGAGTGCCGCCGTGCCGGTAGTACGAAATCAAGGGTTTTTTCGAAACGACACACGTTATCAAGGGTGATTGTTATTGTTATCTTGTCAAGGAGGGGGGTGGGGTTATCGTGTTTGTTATCGAGGTACCAATACACACCGAGGTATCAGCGACTTTTTACCTTTGCTTGGAATGTGATTCCATGTTGGAACGCCTCGTCCGAATGTAGGGGAATCCTGGTGTCGTAGTCGTCATTCTGCACAAGATTATACTGCTTTTTGGAGGGCATCTTGCTGTACACTTCACCCACTCACTCAGAAAGTGACATCACAAACATCAAACCCCGCACCAACCGGCAACACTGCACCAACGTAAACAAAGCCGAAATAGCGAGCCGGCTAACCTCAAAATTCTAATAACTGGCAATCTAAAAACGTATTTCGTTTTTGGGTGACGAATATTTTACTAACTAAAACTGTTGAATTATTCTACATTCGCGATCCACTATGTATAACCTAAAACCTACGTTGAAATGCTACACCAGATGGACACGGGTTTATTTTTAGACGAGCGCCTTTACAATACTTTGACACTAGTTTGGGCGCACGCGTTTCTACGGAAAACTGTTTAATCCACATTCCCAAATACGTAGCCAGCCGAGCGGAGGACGATGCCGGTATACGGTGGCGACAGCGACGGAGCGCGCACAGTTCTGGCGGGAACGGGAAGGGCGACTGGAGACAAACGGCGGGAGTCGGCGCGCCGCGCTGATGCTACCTGGCGGACAACGCTGGAACTACCAGCGCTGGACACAAGGTCGACCTTGTGACGTCATTATGTCCAGTATACGGAACTGGTGTCGTGTATGTTTTACCATAAAACCCCCTAACTTTGTGTATGTTTTACCATGAAAATACTAAACTTTGTGTATGTTTTCCAATGAAAACTCAAACTTCGTTAATGTTTCAAAATGGAAAAAATAACCTTCGTGTATGTTTCACCATGGAAAAACTAAACTTTCGTATGTTTCACCATGGAAAAACTAAACGTTGTGTATGTTTTACCACGAAAATACTAAACTTCATGTTTGTTTCACAATGAAAAAACTGAACTTCATGTATGTTTCACCATGAAAAAACTAAACTTCGTGTATGTTTCCCCCACGAAAAACTAACTTCGTGTATGTTTCCCAAGGAAAAACCTAACTTATTGTATATTTCACCATGGGAAAACTAAATTTTAACTGTATACAATATAATGATTTTGAAATTTCCTCATTAATACTGAATTTATTTCTTTATTGAAATACTTTGTGAACGACTTGGTCAATGGAAATGATAAAATAAATCTGTAACTTTTCACAGTGGTATTTAAGTACCAGACCAGTACAGCAATGTGTACCATATAATACAATTTCACCAAATTGAAATATGATAATCGAGACACAAAATGCAAGACGTTTTTCACATTTCCTTTCCCATAGTGCATGTATTGAAACTGCAAATATACCGTTTACTGTATGAATAAGATAATTTAGAAACGCTACCTAATCAATATTGTGGATTAAAACCTATCAAAAGATTAAACTAAAACCGGCTTTGTTGGGACGTCAAACTCGGGTATGTTGGCGACATTCCTGCGATAAAACGTCAACAAGATACGCATGTGACTGATGGTGTGCAAACTTGGAATCGCTTCGTGTTTCTACTTTGTTTAGAAATGTTTGAAAATTTATGAAAAATCCCTAACAAATATCTCTGTAGCGTATAATAATTGTTAAGCTAAAATACTTTGGTGGTTAGATTGTTTAGTGTGAGTAGGATTTTATTTACAATTTATTTATTACTTGATTGAATTCTTGTTCTGGTTGTACTTAGAGTATTTTTTTGATAGAGTACATTTGAATTTGGAGTATTATGTAATTAGTATAGTATTTCCTTCTAGGTTCTACCGAAATTGTTTTCCACAATACTTCAGGCTACGTCTAGAGGGGGCTGTGGCATTTTCACTTAAAATTTCATTGGTGGTTGACCGGATTTGAACTCAGAACCGTCGACCGAAGTCCCATGCTCTACGACCAGACCAGCTCACTTCCCCAGTATGGTACTATAAATATGACTGGCATTGTTTATTGTATTATATTGCATGTTAGAAATAATTTTCAAACGTTAATATTAATGGTAAGACAAATTACGCAATCAGTGTTTTTCAAAATAACACAATATTGATTCTACATAATATTTATATTGGTAAAATTTATTGTCAAATTTAAGACACAATTATATTTTGTATCAACGATGAAAATCTTTAAATGGTTTCTCTAAAGGATTTCAAGGATTATTCTCATTTAAACATTCAATACATTAAAAACAATAATACAGTATGTCCAAACATAAACTGTATATTTCATCACTAGGGCCTAAAGTGACTCTTTAAAGTCACTTTTTGCCCGTGTGGTGAACTATATTTTTCGTCATATTGCATCATTAATTAACAAATAAAGCTAGATAACTAAATAATTTGTATGTAAAGATAACCTCTCAAAGGTTGTTTTCAATTCCGCTAATGCAAATAAGCAGCTGTTTAACAAGTGATTCAATCATTTCGTCTATTACTACAGTACATTATGCCATCGATATGTCGAACAATCGACAACAATAGGCTAAAACCTTACCTAATAAATCAATCCATAAATAATATCGATTGATACGATTGTCACAATCGAAATTTACAACTGTTTGCAACAGCTGATTTTTATTCCCTAGAGACTAAAAATAATGTTTACTTTCTATAGAGTAAAAATGCTACTTTAGACCCGCGACGCATGCATTTAAACGGCTGTTTTCGCTACAGTATGACGAAAATTCTATTTGCGAAAATGTATTCAAAGTCCATGATAAAGTAGGTCTCCATCAACAATATTATATTATTCAATCTCTTTGAATTATTCACTTGAGATAACGATAGGTTTTCTCAGAAAATTGAATCGCTTTCAGAAGATGAATGCAGTTGCCGCATTGTCAGTGAATTAGATTACAGGGAAAGGCAGAGAGGTAGGGAAGAAGATTCAAACCTAATTTATCAACTTACAGAAAAGAAGATTAACCTAGTAACAGGAACAGTTTATACATTTCAATCATGTGAAGTTTGGTTCAAGCCGTTTATAGAGATTATATACAGAGTGAATCTCGTAGTACACTTTTGATTTCAGACAAAACGTTGGTCCAACAATAATAAGAACTTTTTCAACCAAACAAAACCCTAAGGAATAATGTTTAATTTTTTATTTTCAAGATGTCCTAAATTAAAATTTTACTAGTTCGAATATCACAACTGCTATATACAACGTAATTTTCAACATAATTTAATAGATTTTCCAATAAAAACCTTTTTGATGGTTTCAAAATGTGACTATTGATTCTTTCAAAATGGCGGCCCTTACTGTGGGAAAACATTCATTGTATCATTGTAGGACAAATGATTTGTTTGGACACCCAACGAGATTCACCCTGTATTATGCAATTTTCAAAATCGTTAATATGAACCTTATAAAAGAAAATCTACGTTCTAAGCTAATTTAACGTCGCTTTACTGGTTTTTGTATCCAAAAATGTTCTTGAAGGTATAGAATTTAAGCTTGGGTCCTTTCATTCGAGGGGTATATAATAATTTGTACATACAACGGTTCAAATGGCGTTTCACTGCACTGCTACAAAGAACACCAAGAACACCTTAATCAAATTTTATTATTGAGTTAATTATAATTTTTCATTAGTCAGTAAAAAAGCTACGCAGATCATCTCACACCATTCTATACTCATCCTTCACTCATATTTGGGGTAAAATACGCATCTAGGTGGCGTCCCCATCTAAATAACCTTTTTCAAGATTTTTCGTGTTTACGGATTTATTGACTATAATTTATCTGACATCTTAAAAAAGTGGGATTTTTCTAAAAACTACCAAACTTTTATAAAGAGTGTGGCTCTTATTTAACTCTGATTTAAATACTCAATTCCGATTTTTAGTTTGTAAGCTATTCTTGATCTACAGGTAAAATTCTTAAAACTAACTGTTTAAAATGCTTGCTGTATGGACCTGAGAAATATATTTATTTTGTTCATATTCATGTAGATATTTCGAGATAAATTACATTTTCAGCTACAAGCTGTAGAACTCTTGATGGATGGTGTCCAGTTGATGGATGAGGATGATAACTACTGGTCAAGCATCATGTACTTTATTTATGTCAAGATTTTAGTAGAAATATTTTCTAAATATATGTAATCCTGTATAGGTTTTTTTATTATAAATGTTAAGATTTATTTGACTAAATGAAAACAAAATCAGCTGTTGTTATTCAAGATTTATTTATAAGGAATATTCTTTAAACCTGATTTAAATACATTAACGAACAAAATCTTATGGGTTTTAAAGCTGGCCATGTATTTAATTAAAAATGAATTTATTATTAAGTTAACCAAGAATAATTATCGTACAAAACTTTAAGTAGTTAAAATAAGGAAAAAAATATTACATGCACAATATTTTTCATAGAACAACCAGGTACAATATTTTATACCACGGACGGACCTTTGTATTCATAGTAAGTAACTAAATTTCAAAGAATTACTCATATTATTTGAAGGCGTAAAAATATTATTTAAACCACATTTAAATTCAATAATGTACTGAAAGTGGTCTATTTTACGCTGTTTAGAATGTCTGTCTAGTGTAGAAAGTCCATTATTATTCTGAATATGACTTATTATAGAAAACATTAAAATTTTGTTACATTAGCCCAAAAACATGTTAGAATTATCTTCACAGTGTGACATAAAGGCTTTTGACAGATCATTGCCAAAACCTGTAACAACTATCCAACCCTGCTAAACACAATAGAAGCTGATTGCGTCATCAGAATTTGCTTTTGGCTGCCGATGATTGGCTTATCGTCTGAATTGACGACCAATCAGGATACCCCGACCACACGGTAACTGTTGAGTTGTAAATATTACCGATTTAATTCTAATATTTATAGGCTATTTTAAATGTATTATACAATGAAAAATACTACACATATCAAACCAATATTTTCCAGAATTTCGCAAGAAACACAATCATGTGTCATGCATCAAAGTATATAAGAAATTAAAGACTTAAAAGCTAAAGTAAATAGCCTTTGTTAATGTCTAAGGTTTGAAAGTATTGTCTGATAATATCACAAAATTACGATGCACTATGACGGTTAGGTTATGTTAAGTAAATGTTTTGGCATTTTATGGGGATAATCACAAAAACTTGAATAAATTTTGAACTGTAAATTTCGTATATTATTTAGACTTAAAAAGGCTATTAGGTACTACATTTTTATCGAAATAGTTTGGGCCATTTTTTGCCCAAATATAAAAACACGCATGGAGATACCACAGACACCACATACCAAATGGCATCAAAATCGGACTACAGGTGTGGTATGTAGCTCTGTGCACATCGAAAGCACAGAAAACATAGTATGTTTTCTGTGTCGAAAGACACACACCCAGACAGACTACTTTGAAAACCAATTGTTAGTGGTTTGAGGGTACCCAAAACGTATATTTCCCAAAAAATATGAAAATGTGAAAAATATAAAATGTGAAAAATATTGCATTGTCGATGGAAAATTCTCAAAGTGGTTTACATTTTCATCAGCCTACGCTTGACCCGACATTGTAGATCAG